TATTGATTTTGCATCATAATAAATCTGGAAAATCATAAGTTGAACTACTGTCTAGGACCATCTGTATTGCCAAATCTTAACTTTATCTATATTATAGTAAAAGACAGGACCCAAGGTACAAATAACCTCAAATATAGGTTTATTCCTAGAGAAATTTATTTGAATTTTTAAATTGAAGTATAATATGGACATGTGTGCAGGCCATAAGAATACAGCTCAGTGAATCTTCACAAACTGAATTCCTCTTGTAACTGGCATCCAGACTAACAAACAGAATGTTACCGATATCCCAGAAGCTTTTCGTGTCCTTTATTTCAGTGAATAAACCCTCAATAGAGTAACTGTTATTTCTATTTATTTATTTTGAATCAGTCTCACTCTCTTTCCGGATAGAGTGCTATGGTGTCAGCCTAGCTCACAACAACCTCAAACACCTGGGGTCAAGCAGTCCTCCTGCCTCAGCCTTCTGAGTACCTGGGACTGACTACAGGCACACACCACCATTCCTGGCTAATTTTTCTCTTTTTAGTAGAAACAGAGTCTTGCTTTGCTTAGGCTGATCTCAAACTAATACGGCTCAAGTGAGCCTCCTACCTCAGCTTCCCAGAGTGCAAGGATTTTAGGGATGAGCTGTTGTGCCTGGCTCACTTTACTTTTTTTTTTTTAAAACAAATTTACATTATCATTTTAGTTAATGTTCATTTTTAATTCCCTGATCCCGTGCCAGCTGAGTATGGGCTGAAGGTGAGGGGAGGAGAAAGATGAACTTGGTATTATAAAAGGGTGTAGGATAATGTGGAAAAACCTACCTTGGTTAAAATTTTGTCATAATTTGAATGATCTCAAAATGGGTAGTTAAGGGTTAATTTGAACTTGATTGCTTTTACTAAAGGAAAAAGTTGCTTTATGCATTTTTATTTTTTTGAGACAGAGCCTCAAGCTGTCGCCCTGGGTAGTGAGTGCTGTAGCATCACAGCACACAGCAACCTCCAACTCCTGGGCTCAAGCGAGTCTCCTGCCTCAGCCTCCTGAGTAGCTGGGACCACAGGCGCCCACTACAACACCTGGCTATTTTTTGGTTGTAGCCGTCATTTTTGTTTGGCGGCCAGGCTGGATTCGAACGCGCCATCTTAGGTGTATGTGGCTGGTGCCTTAGCCACTTGAGACACGGGCGCTGAGCCACTTAGTGCATTTTTGATGAAAAATCATTAGAAGAACAAAGGTGAAATATTTTAGACGATCCTAAAATATTAAAAGTGAAAATGGAAGAAGTCATTGACAAAATACTTTTTCATATAAGTATGTGCACAGTAATGTTTTAAATACTATATATTAATAAGAATATTGCTTGGG